GTACATGTGATTGTGCATCTCACAATTCCATTCCATGCTGTCCAGACATCCTACATTGAGCAGGACAGTCCTGCTTTTGACCAAAACATTTGTATACATTTACATCGGACACGATTTTCATTGTATACATTTTCATCGGACAGGATTTTCATTGTATACATCATACTGCAGGTATCCTGCTCTGGAATGGGGGCAAGGTTGGACAGACTGTCATTCTACCACTTACATGTACATGTATACTCTATTGCTGAGTGCATAAAGCTACATTATGTTTGGTAAAACCTGTGACTAACGACCACCCCTTGGGGCCGGAAAAAGGCGGTCTTTAGTGGCAGGTGGTCCTTAGTTAGAGGTTTTTCACCGCACAACTTTATACTCGTAAGAATGTGAGACCGTCTGTGCCTGGCGAAGTGGACCGTAGTACCAGGCTGGTCGCTAGTCACGGTGGTCTTTAGTTACAGGGTTTACTGTACCTGTCAGGATTGCCAAAGCGGTCACGCCGGAACGGTTTCTGCAAATTTACCAACAGATCCGGCTTGCTGCGTCAGACAAAAAGCAGTGTTCGGACTTACTTGTAGCTCCCAGAACCCCCCACACTCCCACAACAACCACAGAAACAAAACACCCTAGATCCACGTACCTAGGGCCATGCCTATAATTCTTGCCTCAAGTCTTTATTCTCATGACGACCAATGGCCAATAAAACTTGTTGTTGGCTTTATTGAAAGTGGAAGTCCAAAATAGGCCTGATTCTAATAACAATGGTCCCACTGGTAGGAAGAGAAAAGAAGGATCGAGAAAAGCAAGACCATAATAATTATTGGAAAGTGGGAAAAAAATAAGCGGACAAATAACCTAGCATACAGTCATGTGCATTGAGCACGTTGCAGGCAATAGACCAATCCCGAAAAGATTGCCTGGGTTCGAAAGGGGGCATATCAACTGAGAGTACACTGTACAACACATACTTGGCACTACCTGATCAGCATGCGGCACAGGACGTGTTTGATGGTTCGCGTGTGAATGCGAGGGTAAGTACACGATTTTCTCGTTAGTTGCATGCAAGAGAGACGATGCGACAGAAAGCGAAGCCCTTTGTAGTTTTCTCTCTCGCACTGGCAATAGTCTGCTGTTGGAGTTGAAATGCTAAGACATAATCCTTGTTTCGCTCTTCTGTGTAGTGTGAAGAGGTCAACGAACATGTAGAGCTCACTTTGATGAAGTAGGCAAGGCTGTGAGCGCTGTGGCTCAAAGCGATAGGCCCTAAATCTTACGAGATATTTCGAGTGCTATTGTTTGTTGCGAGCGCTTCGTCCTCGATGAGTCCTGCCTCTTTCCTGGCAGCTGCCCTCCTATAGGACCAACCACGAAGTGACTGTACTCATCTGCAGCCGATCAATGTTATATTGCACAAGAAGATATCGTTTTTCGCCAAGCCAGTACCCCGCCAAAGACCATCGCCGTGTCACACCGTCGGAACGAGTTCATGATGAGAAACATCATTCGCGCGAGCGTGATGAAGAACTATTTCGAAAGACAACAAGTCTTTACCCCCGGGACGACAACTATGTGCACGTCCTGCAAGGGGAGAATGTCACCAGCGACATCAACGAAGACGACGGCAGTATTTCGGAAACCTGGCGTCAGCGGAGGTCTTCAAGCTCCTCCGCGACCCGGTACATGTACAGTATAGGTGACATGTCGACACGAGCGTGAGGAAACACAGCATACACTGTAGTAATGTTGCGAGAGTTTGCGGAAGGAGTCCAAGTCGGGAAATCCATCAGCTCCAAAAGCTACCTGTAGGTCGGCGATGAGACTCCAGCTTCAGACTACAACAGTCAGGACTTGTAAATAGTTGAACTTTGTGAAGCAGCAGATCGAGAAGTTAGCTGAAATCGTAGCTGTTGCAGTATGTCGGCGCTATGTAGCTTGCATTTTTTACGGAGAGTCGATCGCCACGCGAATGTTTCTCTCCTCACCGAGAGCTATCTGGCCTCCAAACTCCGTCAGGGTCTGCCTAAGGTACCGAAGGTCCTTTGACTAGCTGCTGGCAGGACTCCATCAAATCCTTTAGCTTCAGCTCGGCGAGCAAAAGACTTTTTAAGTCTCTCCTCCGCCATGAGCTGACACACACAAACTGAATACAAAACGATGCACTTCACACGTGCTGGCTTGCACGCGTGCCCCCTTTCACGAACCCAGACAATCTTTTCGGGATTGGTCTATTGCCAGAATTACTCCTTTGTAGCATACAATCATGTACATGTAAGTAGAAACCCGGGAATCGTCAATTACTAGTAGTAGTACCTTCTTGGTACTTTTCAACTCCCTGGCAGAAACCGAGATCACGAAAATTAATTTCGGAGTGTGCGAAGCAGAAAGAGTAGACGATGTAGTGGGTCGTGGCACCCGAGATGGCCACTATTGTGCTGAAACACAAACCCTGGACGTGGTGTTGAAATGAACGCTTGAGCACATCGAAGTACATGTAGGTGGAGGTGGGATTGCCTTTCACTTTCTAGAATCGTCACCATTCGCGATAGCGCCGGGGTCTTCATGGTATCGACCATGCACACGCTTTTCCTGTGCTGTGTGGTGACTCGAGGGCTTTGCGAACACGAACGCTGCGACATGTTCACACTTGCAAGGACGTGCTGTGAGTGCGAGGCGATTTCGAGAAGGGAAATCTACACAGACACACACACACACATAATCATTGCATCTCTCTCGCTTGCCACAGTACTTCAGCTTCGACATTGCACTTTTGCAGTGTAGGACCGATAGGTGTTACCAGGGTGTTGCGAAAACGCACAATGCACTGGCTAGCATGCTCACAGAACAGAGAACTCACAGAGCACTGCATGAGGTTCGTTTGTCCCTCTTGAAGTCACAAATGCATGGGGCTTGCAGTTCCCTCATTCTGACTCACTGACCATGAACTGGTCACTTCGTGTTCTGAAGACTGGTCAGAACCTGGTGTATTCCTTTTTCTAGAAACAGGAGGTCTCCGTGCTTACAGAGGTAAGAACCGGCATTGGTTGAGAAGGAAACAAGAGGAAAGTCGGAGTTCAGTTGACAGACAGGACGTCTCTGCCTGGCGTTTTCGAACGTTCTCGGGCATATTCCGCCTGTGCGACGGGTTGTGCGCGTTCTCGGCGTCCAGCTTGCCATGCCATAGTTGTTGCGGAGGTCCTTCTGCTGACGGAATGACGCGGACAGATAGGGCTAGTTCTGGTTTGCTTCCCCAGTAGATATTTGTGTGTTCAAGTAGCAGGGTGCAGTGGTTTGTAACGACGATAGTAATACTTTTCTAGTTGCGTTCGTCTTCTGGTGTCTTGTTGTTCCACGTGTATCTGCTGCAGCAAGTCCTGAACCGCTATTGCCAACAATGGGAATGTACCGCAAAGCTATACACGTAGTGCTGCTGCTGGAACCCTACGCGTATACGGCAACGACACGAGTAAGTTTGATACCGTAGACTGTACTAGTTCAGCAAGGAGCAGCAGCACCCGCAACGCTAGGAAGTCGGGCGGTGTGCATCAACTGAGTGTGCGCGAACCCGTACCGGTTGCAGTTCTGTGCATGGCTTCACACTCACAGACGTACTGGTCTAGCCGACCTAGCTGGCAGGACAAGAGCAGCACGACATTGTTACTGGACTGCAAGGCTGCGAAGTCGTGATTTGCCTCGTGTAAGCCTATCCCATCCGTGCTTGAATGTCCCTCTCGGTGATATGTGTTTTGACACGAAACTCGGAGTTACAGCGGAATGAGACTTGTTTGATTCATTGCTGTGTAATATTTGTATTACTTGCTCTGTCCAGTGGGCATTGAGCGCTGTAAGCAGCCTAGGGACTTTACTTTAGACAACTGTCTATTTTGGTGATACTAGTAGTTTCTAGTATTCACTTGTCTAGGGAACGGGAAAGGGAAAAGCCCAAAGAAAAAATTGACTGTCACCACCAGGGTTCGAATCACGGACCTTCGCTTGAGGCCAGCGATGCTCTACCCACATTGGTGTAGGGACCGGCGGATTCTGCTGGAAAAGGTGGCAGATTCTGCTCGAAAAGCAGTGAAATTGGCAGAACCACACAAACCTTATGGCGGGCAATTCCTCGAATTCTGCTCCATTTGTTTATCCACATACCAAACATGCATGAAGCCAGAAAAAGTACCGAATTCTGCCAATTTTTCTGCCGGCAGAATCCGCCGGACCCTACATTGGTGTGTTGGTATTGAATCCAGTAGTAGTAGTAGTGATAGTGGTGGTGGTTGGTTTAGGTGGTGTTGAGCACGGTCAGCACTCTGGGTACATCCTTCGGTGGTTGGTTTATAATGGTATAATAAACGGGAACTGAGCCTAATGATATTATTATACTAGTGAAGACAAATCGATAAGCCTCATTCAGAAAAGAAAGGACAGGAATTTGAAAATTACGAAAGAAAAAGGCTCAGACAGAGGAGTCAAGCGAGTACCAGGGGTGGCAGGGTGATAATGAGGTCAGAAGTTCCTCTTCTTTTTTTTTGCAAACTGCTGTCCTCTTTCCCAGACATCAGTTCTTTTAGTCATTGCCCAGACACTGCTGATACAAATGGGATCACCCTCATAGCAGCTCTACTGTGTTATTTTCGTCACGTGACTGTGCCAATGTAGCAAAGCCATGCAAACATGCAGGTCTAGTGACACAATGTCATGTAGGTCTAGGATGTACATGACTGTATCTGGAACTTCAAATACAAATTTTCTACGTAACATGGTGGTAAATGGCGTGGTAAATACATACCTGGCAATATGGCGGGAAATACACGCCTGCCCACACACGCTCTCTAGGCTGCAAAGTTCTGGCACAGAGCCTTCCTTCTCACCACCACCATCAGTTCGCGCCTGGCGCCTAGTCGATGCATGGTTGGCGGTACACACACACACCACACACACACACACACACACACACACACACACACACCCTCACTCTCTCAAGACGCACGGGACACAACAAG